CATGAGTGTAGCTAAAAATGGGCCACGTTAAAATATATGTGCACTTAACACTGAAATCGGGTGCATGTGAACCGTGCAGTCATGACTAGACGCACCAAGCACATGATACGAGCCCCTGCAAACTTCAGTCAGAAAGCACCGCACAACAAGCTATTAGCACCCGCGAGCTCCATCAAAACAGTCCAGCGCGAGCATGTGCTAACCAAAGAGACTAGAGAGTCTAACCTGCGAGTAAGGTCAACTTTAAGACAGTTTATTGTCCGTACAAGCTGTACAAAGCCACACATCACTCACATTAACACACGGCACCTGGGCAAACCGCTTTAAACACACATGAAGTCACCAGGCTAATGTTGGCTAACACCATCCACTCCAGAGCATTGCAGTCGCTCCTAGCCAGCTACACTCATACAGGCAGACATTAAATATCAGCGTATGTTCCCGGGTGCTTGTAAACACTCAAATTTCCGCGTAAGTGCGCGTATTATGGTCAGTGAAGCCAATGGCGGTAATATAACTTAACGATATCTTCTCGTGGCGTTAGCACCTAGCTAACTCGGCAGCTCGCGGGATAGCAAAGGCGCGCGGCCTGCTGCAACCCCATGTGCTGCTGCTTTGTTCTGGAGGCACTTTTAAGTGTACACCACAGCGCACACATCGACCGAAAACTCCATATTCTCTCAACATGTGGCCAACAACAGGACAACGGGAGTCTATGAGTTGCAGCTACTACCAAACTGTGTAACGCCTAATTTTCACGAGTGAGTATCACTTTCCCGAGGTAGCGACTCTCGAGATGCGGAGCAACACATGCTTTTCAAATCTCCCTCATTCTCCAACCATGGAGGAGAGGTTGCCATGCGCCTCTTACAACATTGTTTTCAAATGCGGAAACTGGTGATTAAAACGTGTTTATCCCCCCCCTCCCCAAATGTTAACGTGAAAGTGTGGCTCCGCTGTGGCACACATTGGCGAGCATTTCACTTTCCTGACGTTTACCGCATCTCCCGATAAGGCTAACAACAGGTTTCTTGCCAATAACATGCGCGTAATAAGACACTAACGTTAGCTCCTAAAAAATCCACCATCTTCACTCACTTGTGCAGACTTACCGTTTACTCACACTGTTTCGGGGGTTATCTGCAAAACTGAGAAAAGAAAAAAAAGACATGACCAAAAAACGAGTAACAGCTAGGACGTATAATCCAAAAAACACAACCATGTGCTACTATTATGATTTGCTAGGAGTTTGGGAATCGTAGTAAGATTGCGAAAGTGGCGCGAGTACACTCGAGGTTTAACCATGTGGTGAATGAAGGGCGGCTCCCAGCCAGCGTAGCTAAACCCCCAACTCCTTCATTAGCATAAATCAACTACTTCCTCTCCAAGTGCGACTCTCAAGTTTCACCCCTTGATTTTGCCTGTTGGTAAACATGCAGAGGTAGTAAAATACAGAAACTACGAACTTATTCCTCACGAGGGAGAACAACAAACAACCCCATTATAAAACGCAGAGGCAAATAGGTTGCTGTTACAGGCGACATCAACAAAGTTTTCTAACCTTATTTTTTCTTGATGTTGTTCCTGCGTAACGTTGAGACAAAAAATGTCTTGTGAGTATGGATAAACCCTAGAAATAAATATAATCAGTCAATCTAACGAAAAAGACATTTACTCAGATCAGTTTGTTATGTACTAACATGGCAACTCACTATAGCCTACATAATTATGTTTATCATATAAAACTTATTACTCTTTCAAGCAGAAGTTTCTGTAATAAGAGGTATCATTTTGGGTTTACTAGCTGCACATTATTTGAGGTCTTTGTAATGTAATAGCAAATTAAATTTTTATATATAATTTTTTTATTGCACAAATTCTTTACAAAAATCAACAGAGTTGTTGGCTTTATTTAACTTAATTAAAAGATTAACTGCAGTATAATCATAGCATATAGAAAGCTAAAAATAATATATTTATTTATTTATTAATTCATTCGTATAGTTTGATATTGTTTTTATTCGTTATTGTGGAGAATATTGGGTTATAACTATATATAACCTAATAAAGCCTACATACTAACACTAACATTACTAACTAAAATGCAAACCAGATGTCTCAGCAATAATGTAATGTTACCAATACACCTTAAAAGGGGAACAAATGAAAAAAGTTACAATCCAGTTGTTATGAACATTACATTTTCAACAAAAGGGGGAAAAAAGTGAATATAGTGCTGTCTGTTCTATATGTTTATGAGGCTTATGGATACAGACCCATGAAGCTAGGTGATATTATTTAATTTTAGACTATAGTAGTATACGTTGTCAATGAATGTTAGCACTGAAAATTGTTATACAATGTATCCATTTTATTACAGCAATAAAATATTAAACATAGACCTGTATTTGTAGACGATTTTAATAGCACATACAAAAACAATATCCACACAATATTTCTTCATTATAGGAGCAGAATGCGATTTGAAATCATAATTTGTATCAGCATTTCACAACAAAGCTTATTCTGTAGTATAATGTCAAATACAATTTGATTTATTCTGGGCAGTTTTTGTGTTACATTGAAACCACACTCTCTAACTAAGGCCACAAATTAATAAAAAATAATGTCATTGCCACGAAGATGGTTTAAATTGTCAGGCTCCTCCCACTGAAAGGGAATGAGTGTTCCTCCTTCAAGCAGAAATGTGGGGAATTGTCTTGCTTATGACCATAGGTCAGTCTAATTCACCTTTCATCTCCAGATTCAGTCATGTGTGAAGTAACACAATGGAGGCACAGAATTTGAAGTTGCCCTCCTGCTCACACAGCTGGAAAATGCAAGAGGCCCAAAAGTAGGTCCACTGCAATTTAAATGTATAAACTATTAGTTTTTGTATTTTGTTTAATAATATAAATTGACAGCAACATTTAAATAAATCGTAAATAGATTATATTAAACGCCTTACTCCAAATGCATTACTGTGACATATAATTACACTTTACTTCACTCACACAAAACAGTGGTATACTGAGGCAGTGGGGATGACAAAATACTTTCTTGTCTCTCTGATATTATAGTTTTGTAAAGAACTAGAGTTAAAGGATAACAATTAGTTGACAAACACACAACTACATTTGTAATTTAAATTAACTATTTATAAGATTATGGGGCCGGGGGATATAATTTCTTTGCAGGGAGGGAAACCGCCCTTGAAACCTAATTTCTGGTAAAAGTGTATCTTTCAACAAATGTAACAAATTGTATTTTAATGTCTGACCTATAAGATTAATTAAGTCTAAAATGATAGATTATAGATAAAGAATGCAATGCAACATAAACTATATAACATTTAAAATATTATGAATAAATTGTTTGGGGGGAAAAACTTTCAAAACAAAACAAGCCACGGCTCAACCTATTAAAGTAGATATTTCTCAGACCAAATGACTGACACAGATGCAGACTCTGGTTTAAAACAAAAAACATTTTACTTTATGACCACACACAGTGTAGAAAATGGGCACCATTTCTGTAGAGAGGATTAAAACATTTATGTGCATTCATGCTTATTAATGCATATTTCCAAAGTGATAATGATGTTTCTGTCTGATGAACCAATGACTCAAACAAACAAATATACAACTACAGCCTATTGTTTTATATGGGTTTAACTGGTGTTGAGTACCTTTTTAAAGCACCATATAAAATAAATGTATTATTATTGTTATTATAACAGAACTATCAATGGCCTGTAGACCCTGACATATATTCAGCATACTTAAAATATTTCAAGTTATTTGCCCATACATGAAAAACAACATGATCTTCTTATTTTCAAACTTGTTGCCCGACTATTTAAATGTTCCCAGCAATAGTCTTTTAGGAAAAGCACAGGTGATAACATTAACAATGGCTCTGTTGTGTAAGTGTCCCCATTTAGCCATAGTGTGATCATGAACCAGCATGCACAACAACAGGACCCTGAAACTAAAGTAGCTACATGGAATATATTGTCATTATGCTATCATTAATTTGATTATTTAAACATGTGAGCCAGTTGGTAATGAATCTGTTGGCCAACTGATGACTGATTTAATTTTAAATAAATAGGCTTTTACATTTTAAATGACGGTGTATGTCTTCTCTTAAGTGTTAAGAAGTGTTAAGAACAGAAATAATAAGAGTTTCACACAAAATAATATAAATTAAATTACAGCTGTTTGCAAGGAAATATAATTTCAAAATCAATATATACCCTAAGGTAATTCAAATAAGCTAAAATGATTTTGTCCCTTCCCCACACCCATACCAATATTATTTAGCTTTAGAAAATACATTAGACACAAGGAACAATCAGACAAATTAGATTAAAGTAACAACTATCTGGCCTAATCTTTTGTTCTTGAAGGTTTGTATTTATTAGCAGACAAGGTTTTCGGTTATAGAATGTGTATAACAATAATTATACAATTATATGAAACAAATGTTTGGTAGGTCTAGTAGGTATCCAAAGCTATTAACAGGCATACATTTGTTTGGTGTAAGAATCTTCCTTCACACTGTGATTTCCAGACTGTGAAAGAAAAAGAAACAGACAGCTTGGTTTGGCTTTTTAGTGACCTGTAAATAACGCATTCAACCACTATAACAGGGCGGACCAATCTTATTAAGTTACATCAAGTTTTTGTCGTAGTGTTTTTTTCTTTTTTCAAAAATTGCGTTTGGTCGTCCTGATGTTTGAACCTACCCATCTGCCGTAGGTCACACGCTGTACAGTTATGGCTGCCCTCCACGGAAGCCACATCAACCTTCCACAATAATGTAACATCACAAGTCCGACACGATAATTTGCAGTAATTTAGCATAGTACCTAACGTGGAAACTGAATACTCCGATATATTATTACAATATGTACATTACAGCACAGTGTCTGAACTTGTTTTCAGTACATTGATGGGTACATCGTCTAGCTAACAATGTCTAGTTTTTTTATTGTGAAGGTTGAAATACCGGAGTTCCGGTGTAATTGTCGCGTGGCTCTACTCCTCATGATTTCATGGGGTTTTTACATGTTCAGACTTAACAACAGGCTCGTGTCGATGGCGGAGAGTTAAAGGTGAGTTTAACGACGTGTTCACAGATGTGTGTAATGTGATTTATGTTTGTTTTATGTTTATGTTTATGTTTGGACGTTACCTGCTGGCTGAAACCACATGGCTATTATTAAAAGGTGGCTGTTCTCTGTTGTTTTACTGATAGACAAACTACTATACTACTATATAGAGTACACTAACATGCATATAAGAGTATAACACTGAACAATTATACAAAGTAAGCTATATTCTATGTTAAGTGGCAGTAACCTTGTTGCAGGGAAACGCTAGTTTTAAATTACGTGGCTAGACAGTCATAGGTCATCTCTATGACTATGACTGTATGACTATACTGTGTATAATACTATTTATATATATATATATATATATATATATATATATATATATATGTGTGTATTTATATACTCAACAACTGGGTTTCAGGCAGGAAATATTCATGATAGTTGTTTATAAGCGGTGTTGTACATACAAATGTAAATATGACAGCTGAACTGAATGTTTGTATGAGATGTTTACAAGTAAATAGATATTTTTGACATCAGTCAAATATTTCTACACATAAACAAAATACGCTTAACTATCCGCTTAATATTTTATTATTTTATTTAAATGGAGTCGCTGGGCGTGTTTATTATTTCCATGTCTACCTTTCACCCTCTGTTAGAAACAATTTTACTGGCCTTCGACATCCCAGGCCAAATTTGTGATGAAATTGATCTACAGGGGGCACCCTGATAACTCACCTGGTAGAGCTGGCGCCCCATGTACCCAGACTCAGTCCTTGCTGCAACTACCTTTGGCTCTTTGCTGCGTGTCATCCCCCCTCTCCCCCATTTCCTGTCACGCTATAGCTGTCACTAAAGAAATTAAAAGCCCCAAAGAATGCATTAAAAAAAAAAAGAACAGATATAATAAACCCCCAAAACAGTTCCTAGCCCTTTTTTGTAACTTACTGCCAACCATATTAGGAAATACACGTTTGGTCAACTTAACACTTTTAATTTGTCATTCTTCAGCAGTATTTTAATATCATGCCTTTGTCTTTTCAGTCTGGTGAATAGATGGCTGCTTGTGTGCTCTGTCGACCAGTGCGGAGGCTATGCTACCTCCCAGGCTTGAGAAAAGATTTTATCCAGGCTCAGCACGTGTCTGTCAAACGAGTGGATGAGACTGATGATCAGGGGGGGAAGAAAGGAGTATTTCAACACCAGGAGGCATCTCTTCCAGAAGAATACAGGCTGCATTACAACCCTAGCTCATATCATCACTCTTTGTGGAACAAAGCAATCTCCCAGAGCCAAACAGATAATGACGAGGACAAGTGTCTCTCCACACTTGCACCTTCCTTTTGGAAACAGAACAGTCGCTTCAGTGCTAGTTGCTTGCGACATCTCTCCAGCTCAAAAAACACACATCTTGACTTGGCTTTCAGCAAAGGCCCCAAACGTGAGATGCCATCAGATTCACCGTACCACAGAAAACCCATAGAGCCAGATGTTCCGGTAGATACACGTGCTTTCCTCAAATGCCGGCCAGAGTATGCCTCCAAGTCCCTTAACCTCACCAACCGACCTTGCTCAATCGAGTGGTTAGAGGCCTGGTTGCTGCTCCAAAAAGTGTCTGTTTTAAAGGGCAGTATGAAACCATCTGATGTGTCGCAGTTTCTCATGGAGCTCAGCTGCTTACACCCAGACAAAATCTCATTACTGAAAAGTGATCAGCGCTTCACCATGCTCCTCCGATATTCTGTGGAAAACCTTCGCCTCTTTACTACAGTTCAACTGCTGGATGTCATGCAGTCGTTTGTGTGGCTGGAAATACCCCCTTCCCACTCTGTACTCGGGTTGTATGAGGCTGAGCTGTGCCGCAGGGCTGATGAGATGAGTTTGCACCAGTTGTTGTTAGCTGCTGACTTATGGCGCTGTATGAGGAGGCAAGTCCCAGAGTTCTTACAGCACCTCTTTAATTCAATCCCTCTGTACCTTGGACAGATGGGGGTCCCTGAGTTGGTGCAACTGTTGTATATAGTGGGAGAGGGTAGGCAGTTCCCAAAAGACTTGATCCGTCCTGTAAAGAAGCTCCTCATGTGTAATTTACAGCAACTGTACCCTGAGGAGGTTGGTACAATATGCTTGGGGCTTTTTAAATCCCAAACTTCAATATCTGAAGGTGCAGTGATTCATATTGTTGATAAGGCACACTCTTTTGTGGAGGAGATGAGTGACTTTGCCATGGTGAATGTGCTTAAATACATGCGTTTCAGATACTTGTACCACAGGGACTGGCTGGAGGCCATGGCAGTGGAAGTTCCTCGACGGGCCCAAAGTATGGGTATCAAAGGACTTATGCATGTGGCCCTGACCTGTTCAGCACTGCATTACTACAATGATAAAATCCTAATTGCAATTGCTGAGAGAGTTCCATCGCTGGTGCCATACTGCAGGGTTAAAGACTCATGCAAACTACTGTGGGCCTTTGGCACATTAATGTTTCTCCCAGTTCAGAGCCCAAACTTATATTCGAGCCTGACAGACTCCTTGAGACAGAGGAAAGTTGAATTCGGGCGATACCCAGAGCAGCTACTTACTGGTCTTCTCGGCCTGGCCTTTGTCTCTCAGTTCCCAGAGGACCTAATTGCATTAGCTTTGAGTCCTGAATTTGTCAACATAGCACTGAACTTCACACAGCTGGAACTGAAAAAAGACTTGTTCACTTTAGAAAGAGCTGTGGCTCTGGAACTGCCTCAGTGGACTGGCCCATGGCTAAGCAGTGAACTGAGAGAGGAGGTGACAGAAATGCTGTGGAAGTTTGCGCAATCAGACGTGTGCCAGAAACCAGAGATTCAGGAAGCAGAATCCATTCTGCAAGATATGCTTGGAGGAGAAATGTTTGTACATAAGAGGATGATTCTGCCCCACACTCGTTCCGTCGACCTCGAAGTACATCTTGACTCAAAAGGAAAGCCTATAGCCCTGAACCCAGCATCTAACACAGCCACATTATCTCCAAAGAACAGTTCATCCAGAAGTCCTTCTCATCGGAAGAGAAGGATTGTACAAGTAAATATAAGTGATGATCTTTTCTCACAGCTAATACCAACCAAAAACACCACAGAGCCTTTAACCTCATCTCCTAAGGTTAAGCCTACGTCTCTTCACAAAGTAGAGCGTGATTGGTGGAGACTGTCTGAGACAGGGGTAGACCTGACCACTGAAATTACAGACGCTCTTATCAAACCCAGTGTCTTGCAATCAAAACCCCAGGTCTCGAAAGGCATTGTCAAACTTGCTATCCAGGTATCCAGCAGGAACCACTACTGCTGCAATTCACAGCAGTTATTGGGTCTTCATGCGATGAAGAGGAGGCATTTGAAGTTGGCAGGCTACAGGGTTGTAGAGGTTAGCCATCAGGAGTGGTTTCCCATGCTACGGAAAAGCAGGGCTGAGAAGCATGCATACCTGCGCGACAAAGTTTACAAGAGTCTGGAATGATTCTCCGACCTCCAGGAGCCTGAATAAATCACAACAAACTCAGACTGCAATTCAAAATGGCTTGGCACTTTTGTTTTTGGGCAAACTTTAGTTTTAAATATGTATGTGCACAGAAAAAGGGTCTGTTAAGGCATTGGACAGATGTTTGTTTATCCACACCCACAATGGATTTCTTGTACAAAGTACATTTCTTAATGATATTTTTGTGAAAATAACTCAAATAAAAAGAACTCCTTACTATCCTGGTTAAGGTTGTGGTATGATATCATAACAGTAGATATTTGGAATGTATTTTATTTTCTGAATGTACTTCAATCTGACATCAAGAACCTGCTTATACCTTCCAGGATTTGTAGAATACTAAGGAAAAACAATGTTTTGCATCATACTTGATCACATTCACTCATGCATTATGGTCCTCGGAGGTCAATGCATCTGTTTCTAGTGTTATTAGATTGCTGACCACTTTGCACAGCAAAGATTAAAATTTGTAAATAATGCAATACTACCACTAACTGAAACCCTCAAATCACTGCAGTATTGTCTAAACACGTCCATGGAAGGCTGCAATGTTAAAGATTTAACAAAAATAGAATGTATAACATTATTTATGACATTAGGTACACTCCACTGTCACTTTTTTGTGGCAAATCTTAATGCAAAACATGATTTATATCGCAAAACTGCAAACACCACCTCTGAAACTGAGCATACCAAGTGACAGGGAAATTAATCCTTTCACACTGGGATAGAATTGATGCTCCCATGTTTGACTCCTCCGAGCTTTTATGATGACTTTGCTGTGGAGGTCATCTGTCCGTTTCTCATTGCACTACTGCAGCAGGATTAGGGATGTTCACAGATGTCACTGTTTTTATTTTTATCTTTTTGAGGTAGAAATAGATTGTCATACTTTTTCCTATATATTGATATGGATATTGTTCTGTCATCTTGCATAAACATGAAGTAGTGTAAGAATAGAAGAGCAACAAAAGTGGGTTGCTGAACAGAACCGTTTTATTGTAAAGAGCTGTCAAATTCACAACATGTTTGTTTATTGTGAGTTTTGGGGATTTTATTTTTCTGGCAGCATTTCTTGGGAATGCCATGCAGTTCGACAGCCCAAGGTCTGAGATGTCTCTCATTGAAACCTGTGCTAAATCAGTGTTTTTTCAAAAGAGTTGGATGTTTCAAATGAATTACCACACAAGGTTAAAGTGACTTAGACAAAAATTGTAACCACAAAGGAAAAATTATAAGTCATTTTCTGGATTGAAGTTCATTTTCATGGTGTATTGACATGAATGGCAATCTGTGGCTGCCTGGAATTAATGAGAATATTTTAAAACATCTACTCACAACTCTCTGCTTTACAAATCTTACAAGTAATGGCTTCGGTCTTTTAAGAAAAGTAAGGCAAAATTGAATTAGTTGAAGGACATTGTTTTATTCAAAGGCTTTCAAAAGCATAACAATGAACCAAATTTGAAAAAACAAACAAACAGTTGGTATTAAAAAAAGCCCATCTTGTGTTTAGCTGACTGTCATATCCATGTTTGGGAACATCCGTAAGCAGGATATCCTTGTAACTCCCCGAAGAAAAAGCTGGGATGAGACCTTGGGGTAAGGACACACTAGAGAGACTACAGGTGTGTTCTGTTCCCCTTAAAAGTGTTCTTCTTTCTTTCCCTCCCTACCTCCTTATTTCCTTTGTGACCCAGAAACTGGTGTTAGTGCTTCCATCTTGCCAGCTGTCCCAATACTGTGAGAGACAAAAACAGCTTCAAGGTCTCCAGCTAGGAAACGTCTGAAAGAAAGGAAAATCTTGCAGGGAGTTTTTTTTTTTTAATGGCATGCCCATTAATCCTGCAGACACAACTTGCATTCATTTTACCCACTTAGAGAATTAAAGAAAAAAAATCCTGCAGCGTCAAGATAAAAGTAGCCAATTGTAGGGCTTGTACAGTATATTCCTGCCCCATGCACGTTGTATCTCTTTGTTTGCTCGGTAGAAAATAAGACAGAATTTGGAATACTTGATTTTATAATTGGTTATTGGACTGAATATTTAAGTTAGGGCTGCTTTAACAGTGGGAAACAACTGTCCTAATTTCCTTCTCTCTCTGGTTTTCCCTCACTTCCTGATGGGAGACAAGTGGCATGAAGAGTAGCAGTAGAGTAGAAGAGGCAAATTCAATCAACACTACATCTGTCAGCATGTGTTGGAGCGCTTGATGATCCCCCTGGAGAAGTTGGAGGAAGGTGCTGGGAAAAATGGGACATTTTGGTTGCTCTGTTGCCATTTCTCTCTGATCAGGATGAATGAGAAGAGAATGAATGTTATGCTATCCTTACAATTGGCCAGCAGAGGGCACTCTCTATTTAGGAAACTGGCCATTTTGTCTGACTGACAATGATGGACAAACAGTCCCTTGACTTCATGACATTAGAACATTTTCCTATAACTCACATTAATATGAATGCAAGAAAATATTTATTATGTTTGCATAAACAGTTCTAACAAGTTTAGTATAACATAAAAAAAAAAAATGTGTTTTGTCAATATTACATAATGTTTTTGACAATACAGTGAATTTGCAGACCCAACAAAGGAGACAAATGCATTTGAGGGCAGTAAGTACATTTTAATAAGGCAGAGAAGAGTCAATAAATGCCTCTCCTATTCTTCACAGATCTGAAAAACTACAAAAGAGAATTCACATTTGGGCACTTTCAAGTCAGTGCCATCCCTGCAGCTACAAATTTCACACTTCTGGGTGTGCAGGAATCAAGCTTTTGAAGTTGAGATGATTCAGTTTCTCATTTAGCACCATTTTCTTTGGATTCAAATGCAACTCAATGGATCACCAAATAAATCCCTTATCCATGTAGGGAGAAACCGTTACCTCTCTCACTGATGTGTCATCTCTATTATGTTTTCAGGCTGACGCTAACAAGGGCAAACATGTTTAGGGAATAGGGGCTGTCTGCCACAGTGCAGTAGTTTTATTAGTGTGTGTGGAGTAATGGGAGTGATTATCAGCTTAGATTAGATCATTATGCTGTTATTATATTGTCTTCTGAGTCTTCCAAGCAAGGTGCTAAACGTTCCGTGATTTGTTCATGTCTCACTGATGACAAGACATTTATTGAGTTATTAACTTGGTATAAACAAAAGCAAATAAGTAGTAAGTAGAGAATAATCATTAGGCTTAGGCACTATTTTAAAATGTGACCAGTATTTCACCCATTAATAGAGGAGGCTCTGGTAGAGTGAATGCTCTCTCAGTAATCCCCGTCTTATTTGCATTTCAATTCTTTTGCATTTTTCAGCCTGGAAGCTAATCCAGCACAGTCTGAATGTAGGCTAGACTTGCATCAACATTTCTTAAGTTATCTCAGAATAGAGATACTACTGTCTGCATGCTATAATTCCTTTATTTAGGTTATTGTATGAAACAGACAAATCCTAATGTCACATATTCTTTAAGCATTGATGCAAGACCCCTACTACATCCACTTCATTGTGTTGGATCCTTGACATTCACAAGTTAGGGAAGCAAGTACGGATTAACCAGATATATGCAAATTATTTTCCCTTGAGAGTGACAACAAATGATCCCCATCACAATGTTGCACTATGCTGGCGCTAAATACTGCCAGTGTGCTGCATGTTTCTGTATCAGTCCCTCTCAGTGCAACTTCCTTTCTGACCCCTTCAGTGGCATTCAATAATGTGTCTGGATCCTTGCCTTTAAGATTCCAAACACACACACACTCTGCTAAACCAACTGCTGCAGGGACACGACTGACAAGGAGTGTTTGCATTCAGCGCTTGTCTTTGCTGCTATTGATAGGCCTTTATTAACTAAGTTTAAGATTTGTCGCTCGGTTCCTCATATCCTAGTGGATAAACCTTTTCACCTCAATAACACGGTGGATTTGGATTGTTAGCGTTGTATTTTTGTATACTTAAAAATAAATAATGATGCTTGGGAAGAATGTCATGCACTATTACTCAAGCTATAGTCAGGCATAGACAGAGAAATATGTGATATGACCATGTAACCACAGGCGCTGATATCTTATTACACCATTTGACATAACATAGCAGGGGGATGTTTAAGATTTTCACGTCTGTAGATCTTGCTTCTCATGGATTTTGTAAATTCATACTATCCATAGAAGCATTAACTGTTGGCCCATGAAAAAATCATGACCAGAAGGCACATTAAAGAGAGAAGGCTGAACACAGATAATAATGACAATATGCAGCTTGGCAACTCAGTTCAGAAGTTCAACAGAAATAAACATTTGCGAAGAAGACATTACAGTATTTAAAGCATATGCTGTTGTAATTAAAAAATCCTCTGACTCATAACGCAGTGGCTATTTTTAGCAAGCTTGTAAAAGAGGATGGTATTGAAAGAAAAACACTTGTGTTTTCAAGCTAATTAACATTATGTGGGCCACTCCCTGCGTGAGATAAGTTCAAGATGACACTTGTGCAGACAGCATTGTATTGCATAACCACATTGCTGTCCCTCTACACTCATCATTTGGTCACACAAATCATTACAGCTCAAAGCAGGATTGATGTAAGCTCACTAAACAGAGTGGAAGTGTAACAGCGGAGTCACTGTAATACAGTTCCACATGGCATTTTCAAGGGGGTCATCCCTTTATAAAACTCCATAATCATGTAAAGTCTGGCTGGCATATTGGAAGGCATTTCAAGGTCAGTTTTGATTCATTTCATGACAGTGCTACATCAAACCATAAAGTTATAATAAGTCTATCATTACATCATATCCCATTTTCTGTACTATTTATGTATGGTATTTTTTCCAGCAAAACCCAATCTGTGTATTTGCACACTAATTGCCTCTCTATATTGTGGTTTCTTTGTCATTGGTGGAGTCTGCCTTGCTGAGGAATTCAAATATGTTAACCATGCTCAAGGGATTTGCAGGAAATAATGGCTGCACATTTTGGACGTGATGCGAAAGAGAAAAGCCAGTGTCAGGTAACACTGTTAACTTTATCATTTAAAAATGATACAGAGAGACAGAAACCAGTGTTGCATGCACTTTTAGACCTTTATTAATAAAATGCACTTGCTATTTTGACCAACTGCCCCCCAAAAAACAAAAAAACATACACGCAAAATGCCCCAAAAGTATCTTTGTATGTGTGGTTTTAGACACTGAAAACACAAAGCACTCTCCCAAGCGATACAC